AGGTGCTCTGTAAAGTTAACTTGGACGATTACACTGTCTTTATCGTGTGAACTTGGCTGGGAGATGCATAGGCCCCACCAAATTTATCCCTCTATTATGGGCAACTAATCCGGAAACTAGATTAAGTAAATTATTATTAGGTTTGAAAATGGTAGTTTCTAACTTTCTATGATGGGTCAGTGGTTTTTTTGTTCATATACCTTGAATTCAAATAAATGCCTAATATTTATCCAAAATCACATAATAAATTCTAATAAAGTAGTTGCTGTTTTTGCCAAAAACAAAATAAAGCAGTTGCTGTTTAAATTTTATTAACTTTTGGGATTTAACATTTTGTGTTGTATATAGATTACCATTGTTTTGTGTTCAGACAAAAATAAAATTAATAGAGAGGTTGAAGAAAAAATAAAACTAGTTTTAAAATTTCTAAACAAGAGACTAATTTTTAAGTTGATATTTTTTGAAGAAATAATGCCTAAAATATAAGCACCGGACTCTCAAATTACAAACTTATGGCCTTTTTCCGTTTTGGACGCATAAGTGACTAAAATAGAATCTACGGTCCAAAATACCCTTACCTAACCCTATCTCATATTCACAATTTCTGTCCTTCACTTTTCTACCTCTCCTGAAGCGACTCACTCGATGGTTGAGAATTTAAGCGACAACGGTGAAGATTCATGGTCGCAAGACTCGCAGCTCCGACAAAGACATAGAAGCGGCGACAACATCTCCGATTGAGCCGTCACCGTCATTTTTCTTCTTCTTCTCCTTTCTTCTCGACCGTAAATCTAGTGTTGCCGCTTCGGAGCACCTCCGTCGTTGTCGTCTTCGACTGTGTGTCTCGATTGCCACTGCTTTGTAGTACCTCCGTCGTTTTCATCTTCGATGGAGCTTCTCCATATTCGCCGCTCAAAATCCTATCCCGATCTGCAGATTTCTAGAATTTTCAGATCCAGATTGCTAGGATTTCGGTCGGGTGGCGGGGCGGTGGGGAACCGGCGAGCAATAGTGGCAAGGCCGGATAAGGGTTGTGCTGGTGTAAGTGGGGGTGTGCGTTGTGGACTGTGGCTGCGGCGGCGGGGTGTGCGTTGTGGGCCATGGTGGCGGTGATCACCGGTGACCGGAGTGACAAAGGTCACTGGACGGGTGGTGCTGTCACTTTGGCCAGTAGGTTTCTGGGGGCTGTGGACTGAAAGATGGTGGCCGGTGGTGGACCAGTGAGAGCAGGGTCACTGTGAGCGGATTGATATGGCCGGATTCACTATGATGGAGTTCACTATGGTGGTGTGAGTGTGTGACCATGAAGGTGTCATTGGAGTCACCGTAGCGGAAGTCACTGTTGTCACTGACCGGAATCACTGTTATGGATGGCCGGAGTCACTGTTGAGTGTCAATGTGACCGGTGGCAGTCACCGGCCAGAGGCAACGACGGTCACTGGTTGGCGGCGGTGGCCGGTGGTCACTGCTGCGAGTCATTGTACCGGGTGCCATTGTAGGGGTTGGTTGGGAATTAGGGGCATTGCCGAAGTACTGGTCATGGTAATTGGCGGGATGTCACTATTGGGTTAGGCACTGAGGTCGGGTTGGTCACTGAAATCGGGGTGGTCTAGGAGCGGATGTCACTGGAACTGGGTCACTAAGTGTTGGTAATTGTAGCACTGGTAACTGGGTATTTAGTCACTATGGCGTTATTGGGGATATCGTCATTATGACAAAGGTCACTGTAGTGTATTAGTCAATTAGGTCACTGTAACGCATTGGTCACTGTAGCAAGGCTGTTGGGCTTAGTAAGGGCAAAATAGTCTGTTCAGTCATTTTTAGTCACTTTTCTGGAATTTTTTTAAAAAGTTCACTTTTTTGTCCATGAGTTAGTTTTTAGTAATATTGGTGTCCTAATCCCTTTTTTGAAGACTAGTTTCAATTTAGAAAATTAAGTTGGTATCTCTGAATGTTAATCAATATATATGTATTCATCTATATGATTTGTGTGGTACATAAGGATAGAGAGAGAAGAAAACACTAGCATGTAGCCTGCTAAATCGTGTGCGTGTGGATACCGTTTGAGCTCCTGAAGTTTTTTTAGACAATCTGACATCCTAAAGACTCTCAAAGTTCTCCATGGAACTCTTTTGCCTAGGGTTCCATTAAAACTGATGGATGAGGTAGGCTATTGCCTAGGGTTTTGCGTGTCGTTATGTATGGATGAAGCGACTGGTTATATGTATATGGATTACCCTTATGTTTCTACTCGAAGGTTTATGACTTCCTTTCAAAGATCAATTCCTATGAAAAATCGTCATGTTGTCCATCTCATATATGACGTCACTGGTGGCTCATCCCGCTCCTAAACCGCCGCTATGGGGTGGATGGGATTGCCTGGGTCGGAAGATTGTATTTCATTTTCATCAAACAGACGAGTACACGATTGAGATAAGCATTGATCATGTTAAGTTAAGGGATTAGATCTAAAGACCGTTGACTTTTTCAATTGCTCTATTGTTATGTTTTATGAGTTTTATTCTATTGTTACGTTCTTTTATAAAGAATATGTTGTTAGGTTTGTTAGGATGACTGATAAATTTAATGGTATTTTTATAAAATAATTTATTAATACATTCATAAATAAAAGTAGAACAAGTAAACAATGTAAAATTTAATAAGTTGGACTTATTTAAGAACGAATGTATAATAGTAGTAATGAACTTCTACAATTATTTTGTTTTAACTACTACATTCTCCCAATATAAGTTTCAACTGTTCGTCATTGCTGTCAATTCTGCTAGTTTTGATGTTGTTGGATGTATATGGATCCACATGATCATCGACGATTGTTTTATGCTCGCTTGGTAGTTAGTGACTCATGTTGCTCTTTTAGGGTGATCATTGTTATCTAATTATACGGTTATCCATTGTGGTTGGAAAAGTGTCGTAGTCGATATCCGTTTTGTCGAGTATGATGTATTGATCCTAATTTCAATGATATCAATATACACACACGCACTATCACGTGCGCACGCTCACACACACATAAATGAACTTTTCGAGAGCATAATGTGCCATATAAGCATGTCATGTCATTATTATTAATTATTACACACAATTAACTAGTTATTCTCTAAGATGCATTAGGAAATAAATTCTAGACTTAGTTATTTGAGAACATATTGCTCATATATTATCTATATTATTTGTTTCATTATATAGTAAAGATAATCATGATGAAAATCTAAAAAATACTTTTTATTACTTATGTAAGAGTATTAGTCTAGTAGTAGCTTTAATCTTGACATAATTTTCATACATGTGTAGATGGATGAACTTATATGTACGAATAAACATTTTATACCTTTCCATTTAACATATACAATTGAGAGTGATATAGATAGTAAGGTTTGCAATGTAAACATATTTTGTTAAAATATGGGGTCTCATCCAAAAATGTTAACCTAATTGAATGAGTAGTCAACAAATGTATATAATATATTTCTACCTCCGTCCCTCTAGCATTGTGATAAAAAGGAGTGGTGCGGCAGTTCTAGACATGATTGAGAGCGTCTCTCACTAGGATTGGCTTCCGTGTCAATCCTAGGTTGCCATCTTCAGTGATAGGGATCTTCCACTGCACAAGCTCCCACTCAGTTTGGCTATGCCATTCATGAGTTTATCTTCAGCTTTTGGAAAATTTAAGCAATTTGTTTGGTTAGTTACAGTATAATCGTTTCGGTGATATATCACTAAGTCTTCGTTTGTTGCGAGGAGGATCCTCATGGAGTCATGGCTTGAAGGTTTGAAGGAACACTCTCTATCCCTTGGTGGGTGTCTGCCATGGAGGTTTCAGTGAGCCAGTGTTGATGGGTAAATCACACTGAGGTAAGCTTAGTGTTCGACTTTCTTCCTCGGTCCGTAAGCCCATTTCCTAGTGATTCCGAATCTTCGGATGGGATGTAACCTTCGATGAACTTTGTAAGATTTACATCTTTTTGTATCAAACATTCATTATCATCTCACGTTCATCCCTAATTTTCCACTTCATTATTATTCTTAAATTTAATATGGTATCAAAGTTGATATTCTGGAGGTAAAAATTTATTTTCTACATAGTATATTTCTTTCTTCTAAATAATGGTCATCAGATGGATTGCATGTCTGTCACATGTCACCATATTTTATTTGTCCAGATATTGTTTATGTACTCTGTGATTCATTTCAGATGATTCCTCAGCAATCCTCGTCAAACTCATCTCGATGCAACCATATGTGTCTTACTATTCTTGAGACAAACACTTGGTCAAGAATATTTATATCCTCTGATAGTGACTTCACACCAAAAGAGGTTTGTAATTCAAATTGAACATGATGTCCATTTACCCTTCGCTCTAATATTAATGAGTCATTATTCATAGTATTAAATACGCATATTTCTTTGATCATAATACTCTTATTATGTTGGGGGTTTGAGGGGAAGGGATAGGAAGACTTTGAAGGTTAGTTGTAGGAGAAAAAGGGGAAGATGAATAAATCATTTTTTCTTGTTGGGGAAATACAAATTTGGAAAGGAGTCTTTGAATGAGTTAAAATCATTTCTGAGACATGACGGATTCAAGTAGTTATGGAGTAATATATATTCATTTTAAATTGAAGTGAAGTTACCGATTAGTTAGTTATTTTTCACACTTGCGGAATTTAAATTAAAGGACTTACAAATTGAACATTGGCGGCATTTTGAGGATCATAAACACTCTCCAAAACAATTTCTCCCAAATTTTGAACTCCAAAATAAGAAAGGAAATGTCATAAACCCTCTTCATCCTTCCCTTCCCTTCCCTTCTAGAACTTAATTCCCGAATGTACCCTAAGAGTATGTTTCGGAGATTGAGGGAAGGGAAGGGGAAGACTTTGAAGGGATTAGAGAGAAGGGGAGGGGGAGGGATGGGAAGAGTCCCTTTCCCCTTATTTGGGAGTTACACATTTAAAAAGAAATTCATACAAAAAGTTTATATTTCATAGTCATAAGTACACTTTTTGTATGTATGATGCACGTGAAAAAAAAATGTGCTGATAAAAACATGTGCACAAAAAAAATGTATATCTCATAGTGATAAATACTTATTGCACTAGTTCAATCCTATAGAAATGTACTTTAATCAATCATTATATCTCATCAATAATGTAAGCATAAAGAATTTGATTCCAAACATCAGGGACCCCAGGTAAGCACCAATGCACACAATCTGAATAGCTCTTTGGGTCCAATAATTGTTCTTGTGTTGGAGGTTGCCATTGCTTCCTGTAGATAGTGGGGTGTGCATCTTTTCTATAATCAGAAAGTTGTGTTATGTTTAGATAATTGACTTTTAAGCCTTTACTCTCTAAACGTCTTATAGCAGTTTCTGCAATTTGCATAAGCACTTTATCTGTCGCACTTCCCCAGTAATCTGATCTTGAAATTGGTTGTGTTTCATTATAACAGTTTTGATCCGCTTGCATCCCCCAATCTCTTGCCCTAAAAATAAATATAAATTACTCAAAGTGATCAAGTAAAAGTCTAAGAACATATAGTACAAAGAAAATATTTACATATACAAAAGGAAATGGTAAGGAAATAATTGGTAACGTACAATTTATGGTAAGGAGAGAGGCTCATGAAGAACATATGTGTTCTTGATCTGTTAATGTTGAACTCCAACCAATCTGACCATGTCTCTAATGCCATTTCATAACGTCTATTTTTCATTTCTACCTTTTTATAAACTGCATTTGGGCTTTCAAATGATCCCCACCTATGAGCACCAACAATTATTTGGTTCACACATAAGAATCTTAACCACTCATATACTAACGAGTAACAAGTTTTTCTATTTATTACAATTTATTTGTAATTATATGAAGAAATATTGATAAAGATATAAGTAAAATTAAAAATAATGTATAAAATTAATTTTTACTTTGTAGTGATGAAATAATAGCCAGTGCACAAACATTATATAGATTTAAAATTAAACAATGTATAAAATATAAATATGCTGTAAATTTAGTAAACATAAATATAATACGAAGTATATAATATATGAATATAAAATCCAAAATATGATATATGAAATAATATAAACCATGAAAATAGTAATTATATATATATATATATATATTAATTTGTCTAAAGGGTCAAATATGTATATGAACTAACTTAATTAAAGTGTTCAATTAGCCCCTTATATAGGATGTTCTGCCCGGCCGTCGCCAATTGAGGCGGTTCCCGGTGAAATCTTTTGATGAATTTTTTTGAGCATCTTATTCATTAAGTCTAGTTTACACATACCAAATTTCAGCTAAAAATTCAACCGGGAATGTAGTCAAATGATTTTTTGAAGATAACTGCGCAGTTAAACAGCGCAGCACATTTGGGAAAATCATTTGACTGCCTTCCCGGTTGATTTTTTAGCTAAAATTTGGTATGGGTAAACTAGACTTAATGAAGAAGATGATCAAAAAATTTCATCAAAAAATTCCACCGGCAACCGCCCCAATTGGCGACGGCCGGGCAGAACCTTCTATATAAGGGACTAATTGAACACTTTATGTTAGTTCATGTATCAATTTGACCCTTTAGCCTATTAATTTTCATTAGAGTCGCTATTTGAAAGTGAATATAGGCTTGTATCATCATCTAATTATACTTGTATATCCATGATATGAGTTCTATATATTTAAGTATATAGTTAGAGTACTTATTTTACTTAAAATAATATTGAAATTTACTTCATTACACAATGTTGCTAGGAAAAAGGTGCAAATAGGCCCATGTACTAACCAAAAAAGGTCAAATAAGCCCTTATTTAGGAGACTCTGTCCGGTCGTCGCCATTTGGGGTGGTTCCCGGTGGAATTTTTTGATGCAATTTTTTGAGCATCTTATTCATCAAGTCTAGTTTACTCATACCAAATTTCAGCTAAAAATTCAATCGGGAAGACATTCAAATGAATTCTTGAAAATAACTGCGCAGTTAGAATCGCAGTTATCTTCAAGAATTCATTTGAATGTCTTCCCGATTGAAGTTTTAGCTGAAATTTGGTATGAGTAAACTAGACTTGATGAATAAGATGCTAAAAAAAGGGCATCAAAAAATTCCACCGGGAACCACCCCTAATGACGACGGCCGGACAGAGCCTCCAAAATAAAGGCTTATTTGACCTTTTTTGGTTAGTACATGGGCCTATTTACACCTTTTCCCATGTTGCTACTAAGGATCAACTTACAGAAGTGTCATGGTGGGTTCTAGCCACCACATAAAAGAATTAAAGACAAGTATATCTGCATTTGTCCAGTATCTAGCATGCCTCTCAATTGCCTTTATTCTCACAATTCGGTCTCTTACATGATGGTCCGCTGGATCATCGCAGTTGGACTCTACTAACAATGGAGACCAATAGAAGTCTATTGTTGCATTGTATTCCTTCATGATAATCATACAAATTTTTGTTTCTCAAAAGGCCCATTAGATATAGAAATGATACATGGAGTAATAAAAATTGCTCAACATAGGACTAAAACATAAACAAAATTCAAAAATACGACTAAGCATGTTTTATTCCCCAAATAGGAGTTATTTAGGGAGTGTTTGCAAAAAATTAAAAAAAAAACGTTTTTTTAAATGAGTGTTTTCAAGTGACAACTTATGTGTAAATTAAGCACTTAAAAGCTAACAGCTTCAAGTAGGTGGGTGAGTGTCTTAAACTGCTTTAACTTTTTCTATTACACAAAAAAAAATACTTATTTTACCAAATACCGTGAACTTTTACTTTTTCAAAACAATTTGTTCTCAAACACTATTAACATTTACTATTAAGCGTTTTCTCCAAAATTACTTAAAAATTACCTTTTTAAAGTAGAAGCAATCGCAAACACCCCCTTAATCTTACTAAAAGAATAAGTTGATTTAAACTTCCCAAAATTGGAGTGAATGGATACTATTTATAAACTTAATTATTGTTTTGATCATATGGATTTTTGTGATAATATAAAGATTGAGGTAGTGATAGGTGATTTTTTCTTCTCACCTTGGCTTCAAAAGTTATCAAATTGCCCTTCCATATGGAAAATTTAAGAGAAGGAGCTAAAGAGGGTTCGAGTAGGCACACCATTGACATCCATTGGTTCTTGTTAAGAGAATCTCCCACAAATACAAGCCTCTTCCCTCTCAGCTTTTCCAGCAGTGTAGTCGCATTAAACCTTTGACAATTTCACCACATAAATTATATTGAATGTCAAAAGTCCTACAAAACAAGAATGATGAAATGAAGAGAAAATGATGATTTTGGCCTCTCAATTATTGTTATGACCAGTATATTGAACCTCGGTTTGACCATGTTGATCAAACCACAAGAACCGGGTCTGGCGATTTGAAAGTATGTACAAAAACAATTTTTAACCTGAAACATACTAAAATCAAAATGAATCTTGTTCGATTCTTGAGTCTGTTATCAAATCGAATCATCTCCATTGGGTTGACTACCCAACTTATACGGAGTATATTTTTATCTTTTTAAATGATCTTAATATTCATTTGGATAGTAAACAAAGAGACGAAACAGTATTTTATTCTATTTTTTTAAATAAGGAAAATAAGGTCTATTGTTTTTTATGTAGATGACACACACATTCATGACATTGTATTAGAGAGTATTTATTTTGACCTTGGCTTCTCATACCGCCCTCTCCGAATTTAAGTCTTGGCTCCGGTAAACCAGTGTCATTAAGTAATCCAAACTTTTAGTTTGGACTTGTATAATGGGTGTGTTCGACATTTATCGAACAGGGGCTAGCGGATAACGATTTATGCTAATAAGTTGTCGGTAGAGGAATCAGTTAGCGGGTTTGACTAACGGAACAACTATTTATTAAACAACATTTTCACTTATTCAAAACGCTAAAATAGGTCAAACCATCAATTGTTTAATAAACACAATTTTCTAAACACCCCCAATCCCTTGCCAAGCCGCCAACAATTAGTAATCGAGGGAATAATTGTTATTTGAAAAAGGAAAGGGACCTTGGGAGATCACAATCTTTTGGTTTCCAAATCCAATGTTGATACAAAATGTCCTTCCTCCCAAACTTTTGACAAGCAAAATCATCCACTAGGAAAGTACACTCTTTTTCTCTATATAATGGATATGAAGTATTGTCATAGATCCATTTGCCTGAGAAAAAATTGCATTTTGGGATTGATGACACATTTCGTTTAAGTGGGTGCAATTTTTGTTCTATCAGAACTTCTTCAATATCTGAAGTCATGTGATAAGCAACAAGCACACATGCTACAAGAAAGGCTCCAACGATACACTGAAGGTTGTATTTGAGGATGGGAGAATATGCATGATGTCCTCCTCCTCCTGTTTGATCCATGCTTCAACTTTTTCTACTAGTTTTGATTTCCTTGAACATAAGAACACTTTTTCGTTTTTTGAACTTCTAGTGCATACTTTGTACGATCTGTCCAATATGCCTTATTTCAGTTTCAAATCAAACTAGTTAATAGGATACACCTTACCAAATTAAATAAACTAGATCAAATTAGACAAGACCCGACCAAGGTAAATTAAAAGTGAATAAAATACATGCAATATATTCAAAGAAGTCGGATGATATGCATAAATGGTACCTTAACTATTGGTATTGTTACGTTTTGGTATCTTAACTCTTAAATGAATCAAATCAGTATCATAACTAAACATAAATGTTTCAATTGATCGGAATATTTTTCAAATTTACGGCAAAAAAATCCTACACGACGATCAAAATTCCATGTGTAGAGTTCATCCTACAATGATGGCATGGACAAAAGTAAGGTGAAGTGGACAAAAGTTATGGTACTGGTTTGATTCATCTAAAGGTTAAGGTATCAAACGCAACAATATCAATAGTTAAGGTACCATTTACACAATTAACTCCCAAAGAAGTCACATCATCATGCCAGACTATATCAACATTGTAAAGAGACTCAAAAACCATACTAATTTAGATCAAATCAAATTAAATTTGCTCAAACTTAAAACTATATGAAGTACTTCGTATATTACAGTAGACATGTAAAGTTTAGTTCTTGTAAGTACATTCGCCATAAAAATTACAATAAAGTGCATACATGTGTAAGAGCATGAAACAATTCTAAACTTTGTCTCATTTCAATTAAATACCTAGTATAATATATATAAGAAACTTTCAAATGAGACGTTTGACTATTTCTCTAAACAAATTCATATTTTTAGAAGGAACAACAAATGTTGATAAAGTGTGGACTAATTATATAGCAAAGTTCCTTCTTGCATAGGTGCATTACTTCGTATATAAGAAGCATCAAGTTCAATAATAATGTAAGGAATTGAATAAAATACAATCAAATTTATTTATATATAAAAAAAGATAAAATTAAAATAAGAATTCTATAATAATTTCTTGGGAATGAGGCATCACGGCCAACACGTACCCAAGGCATATGTTGGGGCCAATACGTTTTATTTCTTGCAATTTGGAGACGTAGAATATCAAAAAATGTTTTCATTCTTAAGCTTTTATTCACAAACAATGCTATCCCAATAATTCTGGACTTAGGTAGTTTTTAGTTGGACTGAAATTTTATGATCTAGTCTGATCTGGACTGATCTAGTCTGGTATGATCTAGTATGCTAAATGTATGATTCATGTTTATTTCATAATTTTCAAAGTCTGGTCTATTCTGTTTAAATCTGGTCTAGTCTATTTAAGTCAAATCTGATCTGAGACTTAAATAAATTTGAATGAAAACATCCTCATTCCCAGAAAAACGAAGTCATTGTTAACAAAGAATCAAGTTCCTGGTAAGTTCATATTTTATACTACATTCGTCCCTTTTTAGTTAGTCATCTTTTACATTTTCAGTCAAAGATGATAAACTTCACCAGTTATTTTAACTAATATATTTATGTTTCACATAAATATAATAGTTAAAATAAGGTCACTTAAAGGCAGGGCCGGCCCAGAGGGAGTTTAGGGTGTGCGACCGCACAGGGCCCAAAAAATTGGAGGGCCCAAAATAAAATTTTTAGTAGTACTATTACTACTCCACTAATGTAATAATGTATGATGAATTGATGAAATAATGAAATTTAACAAATTTGGTTGTTATTAAGAATTAAATGTAATTAGTTGATGAGTTAATTAGGCTATTTATATTTAATAAATTTATAATTGATGTAGCTATGTTAAGAACATCTTTTTGTCGATCAATAATTATGTCAGAAAGGAAGACCCAAATTTTGTTATTGCACAGGGTCTCCATTTTCTGAGGGCCGGCCCTGCTTAAAGGAAAGACCCTAGAATATGAACGGCCTGCAGAAAAAAGGTTGTTTGTGCTGGTAATTCATGTTTGAAATATTGTATACTTTTCATAGTTTCCCTATTGTGTTTAAGTGTTTTGGCTGATTATTATACTAACCATGGTTTAATACTTCAATACATTTTAAATGATACTCGAATGAGCGAAAGGAACATTATTTGATAAACATTATCATCAATTTGTATTAGAAATGTTTTCACTAAGTTGATTTTTCAGTTATCCTTCAAAATCTATCTAAAACTATACTTTACAATTTCTTAACACTCAAATAAGAAAAGGTGCATCATAAACTCTTCTCATCATTCCCTTCCCTTTGAAAATCTAACTCCCAAACATTTCTAGTAGGAAAACTAAACATAAAAAGGTAGGAGTATAACTTTATAAGTTCCTTTTAATTAGATGATGTGCGGATTGAGCAATGACTTAATAAGTTGGTTTGTGTGCAACGCATTATGGTTTATGGGTGATCTTCTAGAACCGAGTAGCATTTTGTGCGCATTACTTTTCATATTTTGTAAATGTTGAGTTTGTATGTCTTACTAAACAATCACTAGCAGTGATATTAGATCACAAACAAATCGTATTTGTTAGGAAATTACATGATAATTGATTTGCAAAAAACAAAACAAAAAAGATAACTATAGTTTGGAAATTCACCTATGATGTATACACAAAATGAAATTCAATGTCAGGCACGAATGTTTGTGTTGAAACTTTTTTGTCTTTGACATGTAATTTAGATTTTGGATCAAATAGGAAGAAATGTTAATGTGAAAAATGAAATTATTTTTGTGCATTTAATTTGAGATCGGATGCCTTTAAGTGTTCTTATAATACAGTAGATTAGATTAAAAATGCGGGGACACTTTCGTAAATGGGTGGACATTTTTATCGTCGTGCAAAAGTGTAGAATTTGAATCTAAAATTGCATTATAATCAGGTACCTGATGATGTTCCACTTGAAGGCCTGACTCGATCTATTATATATGGCTTAATTGGTTTCCCAACCTATTCGCCATGTGAGTCATGCATTACGCTTGACGATGCGGCAGAAGAGAGAATAGTATACATCATCAACTATATTAATCACCCATTAAAACTAGTGAGTGATCTCTTTCTAATCCTATGTATATAAATCTCGTAGAGCAAAATGTTTTTTGTTTTTTGTGTGTGTCATTTTCGATTTTGGATCAGATATTTCGTTTCAAACTAAAATGGGATAAGGGTCAGATTGGGTCTCGAACTTGAAAAAAAATGTCAAATAAGGCCATATTTAGGATGCTCTGTCCGGCCGACGCCATTTGGGGCGGTTCCCGGTGGAATTTTTTGATGAATTTTTTTAAGAATCTTATTCATTAAGTCTAGTTTACTCATATCAAATTTGAACTAAAACTTTAATCGGGAAGACATTCAAATGAATTCTTGAAGATAACTGTGCAGTTAAAAACGCAGTTATCTTCAAGAATTCATTTGAATGCCTTCCCGATTGAATTGTTAGTTCAAATTTGATATGAGTAAACTAGACTTAATGAATAAGATTTTCAAAAAAAATCATCAAAAAATTACATCGGGAACCGCCCCAAATGACGTCATCCGGACATAGCATTCTAAATATGGCCTTATATGACATTTTTTCCCAAATTCGAGGCCCTATCTGACCCTTATCTCAACTAAAATTGGCTAAACTAGTGGAGAAGTTTAAAGTCAAATCGTTAAGATAGCATAAATATATGACAAAGAGGATTTGTCGCCCTAAAAAATTATCTAGACAGGGGGAAGAAATTTCTTGTCCAGATTAAAAATTATGAATTATATAATCATGCGTGTGGGAATTTCTTGATAATTTAAAACCTACACATTTTAATTTCAAATTTGAAGTATCCGAAAGTTATATTCCCTCCGTCCAGCTAAAATTGTCTCATTTTACCTTTTTAGTCTGTCCCACTATGATTATCTCATACCACATTTGGTAAACTTTGTGTGGTTCTAAATTATTCTTACTATATTCTTACTTTATCAATACAATATCAACCAACAAGCTACTTTTTATTGGTTTGCGTGGCACTCCCTCTTGATCCATTGTTAGCGGGACAGATGTAGTACTTTAAAGAATGCATAAATGTATAGAAATTAGCTTCTTTACATGAACAAAATGTAACAAAACTATCAATTAAGTCACAACTCCAATTTTTTTTATCTCAATTTGAATGGGCATGGATCTTGTCACAAAAAATATGTCTAAAACTGCAAAAATACTTCAACGTGACTTGTTCGGTGACATAAATAAACGTAAGGAAACATTACCCCCTAAAACTATGTTTTGCATCTGATTATCCATTGGCTCACTATTAGCAGAAGAAACTGGATTTCACCGGGCCCACGAAAGTGTTTTTGGGGCATGTGCGCAACTAGATCGTTTAAGCGATTGATTTCACTACTTGGTGAAACTTGATGCCCTGGATCGTGCAAGCACACAACATTGAAGTTGGTAATATTATCGAATTTTTGAAAACCAAGTCCACCTATATTTCCCACACCGGGAGTATAATACTCTGTAAAACATACGGAGTATTATAGTTGCCTTTAAAACTTTTTATAGTCCACCTTCAATCTTATCGGCCAATTTTTTTACCAAACATATAATTTTTTATTTCGCGCACTGAATTTGTAATTATAAGAAAAAGTAAGGTTGTAGTTACTTTTTTGGCTATTTCGGCTAAAGTTACTGTAGAGAATCATTTTAAATATTTTTACATATAATTTTTTTATTGATAAATTATATTTGGGAGATTTACCTAAATAGGAGTAAATAAATCTTTAATTGTTAAAATAGGACCAAAGTTTAAAAATTCACAAAATAGGAGTTATTATTTGTACTTGGACAGAAACACCCTTGAAGATAAAAAACACAATGTCGCCGGAAGGACGCCGGACTCAAAACTAGCCTCCGCTGCAGATCTCGCCGCCGCAACCGCAGATCTGGCCATCGCCGTTGCAGATCTAACCGCCGCCACTGTGGATCTAGCCAAATCTTGCCGCCGCCGCCTTCCAACCGCGCCTGCAGATTCGGCCGCCGCCGATGCATATCCTAACCCCGCTGCTGCAGATCCGGCCACGGCCTCTGCAGATCTAGCCTGTGTCGACTGTAATGCCATCATTTTGATCTGAATGCCAACATTAATTCAGAATGCCAACTTAATGGCATTTTCAAAGCAAAAGATGACATTTTTGAAGAGCAATAAAGCCATCTTCGTGGCATTCTAAAACTCAAAGATGAAACACAAAATGAGATCTGCAATGACATTGAAGGAGATCTGCAATAAACTAAATAAGAGAAAATCAGAAGAGCAAGAGAAACACAGGAAGAAGAAAATGATGACAGAAGAAAAGGGGGGAAGAATGACCTACTTCAACACAGTCACTGCTCTCTGGCACTGATTCACGACTCGTAGATGCTCCGCCGCTGCTTGACGACGTTCGCCGCTGCGCGCTGGTCCCTTCTGCTCTCTGCCGCTGATTGTTGCTCGCTGCCGCAGACTCAGCAGGTCGACGCTGCTGCGCTATTGTAGAAGAGGAAGGAGAGAAGAAGTTGGGGACTTGGGGCACGATTTGAAAACATTTTACTCCGTAAATTAAAGGGGAGGGTAAATGTGGAACAAAACTCCTATTAGGGAATAAAAAGACACATACTCCTATTTAGGAATTTCAGCAATAATATAGTCTTATTTAGGGTAATAAGTTAATAACTCATTATATTTTTAATTTATTTTTTTCATAAATCAACCGAATTAGCCAATACCGTCACTTAAGCTAGAATTTGATAAATTTCAGCAGATCAGCCGATTCAGCCGATTTTAGGCATGGCTATGGGTCGGGGCGGGGCGGGTACTGCAAGACCCGGACCCGCCCCATGACTTGGCGGGGCGGGTCCGCCCCGCCCCGTGACCTGCACGGGTCCAAATTTGTTGACCCGTGACCCGCCCCATGCGGGGCGGGGCGGGTCCGCCCCGCCCCGCCATAACCTAATTTGCTAATATGTATTTCTATTTGTGGGAAGTTGTTAGCAATTGAATCTACATAAAGTTTATCTCTGAATAATAATTAAAAATTAATATATTAAATCAAATTCATGATACGCTAAAAATTTCTAAAATTGAGGAAAAATTACTCAAACTTGAATAGTTAATCTATTTAATTATATTAATAATTGAATGTATGTATTAAAATACTATATATAACGCATATATTGATAATTCGCCGTTCATCTTATTCTAATATATATATCTATATATATATATATATATATATTAATATATTATAAGATCAAAAAATTTAATATTTATTGTATACACACATGTGAATGTTGAAGTATATTTGTAGTATAATTTAAGAAAAAAGTATGTACACTTTTATATTGAGCGGGGCGGGTCGGGGCGGGTCGGGGCAGCACGGGTCAATATTAAGACCCGGACCCGCCCCATTGTATAGGCGGGGCGGGGCGGACCTGCCCCATTTGCAAGACGGGGCGGGCCGGACCCGCCCCAAATGTCTCGGGCCAGGGCGGGTCATTGCGGGTCGGGTTTTTTTGACATCCCTAGCCCGATTTCAGTGTTAACAAACGGGCTCTAAATAAATTGCATTAAGCATTTTCTTTTCCCTTGGAAATTTTATTTAGATATGTTCTGCTTTAATGCATCTTTTCTTTCAATTGAAGATAATTAGGCAGTGCTCAACACCCAAAGTGGGGCAGTAATTTTGTCTTCCGTGAAGAGTTACATGCCTAAAATGGTTGAAATGGTTGAGTTTACTAAAATGTTTCTATATTTTTTTATTCAAAGAAGTAAATCTAAAGCTACTTACAGTGGCGGATTTGGGGGGAGTTAAGCTAGGCAGCTGCCTTGGGCCTCACATTGGAAGGGGGCCCCAAAAAGTTATTAATATAATATTATGTATAATAATTAATGAGTTAATTAATTATATGGAGTCTTGGTCCAGTACTCTATTTTCAAGCATCGTCGAAGATGGCAATTGCAAAGGCCGCTAATCCCAAGTCGCCGCTGATCTGTGAGTGTTAGTATCTGAATTCTCTGACTTCTCTCCCAAATACTGAAACATATACTTCATATATGTCTTAGTCTTAACTCTAAGCATAAAGGGCCTGAAGGAGTAAAAGGCTAAAGCCTAACTCGAAACCGGATCGCAGACAAGCAATTAAGGCAATTATTTTTTTTACTGTTTGAAGTCAATTCCTAAATTACTATTTAAAAATATTTTTAGGTTAAGTTTCTATATTGATATTGATTATTGTATAGAGCATGTATTAGATCGTAATATAGTGGTGTAAATACGAGTATCATCTCAATAGGGACGGACAAAAGGGAATCAAGAATTAATTAAAATCAGCGATTAAAAATAAATAAATAAAAATGTGTCGTGCGAGATATGATTGGTATGAAAGTTAAACTAATGCGAATGAACGAATAGAAATAAAAGATTGGTTTCTTTTTTATTAACGACGAAGGGAACAGGGATTGATTCCGGGGTAACCTGATTTCTGGCAGATCAGGCTTAATTACATGAATTTAATTTAATTGAGCCTAGCTAATCATTACTAAGTTCTTACCGCTCTCGCAGTGTAGAGTACAATAATTTAGGGAAACAGACCAATCTCTCATGCGACAGGATCCTAAATTATTGCCAAAACGAGCGAGCTTACGGCCCCTTAATCGCTACTAATCTCTTAGTGAACGATTAAGTGTGTGTGTGAATGTGTCCTAGAATAAACTAGATATCTCTTAATTTATTCTACATGCAATTGTAATTCTAGCTGCAGTCTAGGTTACAAGAGATATCAGTTAAATTATTCAAACACAAATTAAACGGCATTCATGCAATTAATCCATCAAGAATCTAGCCATACATCATGATTAACCCCTTCATCAACCCCAAATCCCTAATTAAACTACTCACAATTCATATATTGAAGAATCAACAGAATTAGGATGAATAGAAATAATTGTCATTAATTAAAAAGATTGAACTTACAAAAAATCTCAGGGTCTTGAAGAAAACAATCGTAAAAACGCAATTAAATTCGTCCTTAGACCTCTCCGTAATGTTAGTAACCACCTCAATAGGGTTAGGGAGGCCTTACTTATAGAAAAGGGGGAAAACAAATTTTGGCCGAGTTGGGATTAGTTTCCGCGTAAAATGAGGCTACTGGGGGGCACGCACGGAGCCCACGCACGGCGTGCGTCCCCCAATGCATACGACAGACAAATCGCGTAAAAAAAACGGCCACGCACGGCGTGCGTCCC